AAAAAAAAAAAAAAACAAATATTTGCTACCTTTTTGCGATAGAAAGCCACACCATGAATGTTGAAGGGAATCTTTCTATCACGAAATGCCGTTTGAAATAGTTTCCCTGTTACCTATTCATTGGAAAACAGACTACACAAAGTCAAACGATAATCAAGAAGCTTAACTTGTGCTGCTTGCAACTGAACTATAAAATAACAGGAATTGACTTAACCTGCCTCCGGTAGAGAACGGCAATGTTGCCATAGGAGCACCTTTGGTCAGATAAACCATCTGATGCAATTCTGAATATTTTATCAACCACAAACGCACACTCTGCTTCTTCGTTGGAACATTCCTTAATGGTTATCTGATATCATAATTCAGAAATCAACACTCGCCACTATGGAATGGGAAAGGAAACCTAAATCGTTTTTAAAGATGTTTACCTTTGATCCAGAAGAATTATCAGTCACTACATTCTTTGAGATGCATCGCTTGGAATTATTTCGTATAAGAAAAGATGCAGCTTCAACTATACAGCGTGTGGACCTGTAATTTTTGTTTAGCCTGACCTAATTAAATGATAAAAGTAACATTATTAAGACACCTCATATTTTATAGTTGTGGCGGACAAGTAGGCAGGTTACTCAAGAAACAAAAGGCATAATATCAGCCTAACCTCTTTGTACATCGGAAAATCTTTCCTAAATGAATCAAAACCACAAACATCAGCACCGTTGAAACTGAAAATTGACTGCAAGATGATAGGTCGATCAATTAAGAAAGGAGTATATTCAGACGATGTTCTCTACGGTTTTCAATTTCTAAAGTGCTCAGGATGAAAGCCACCTGATCTTCATCACCAACAATAGTTATGCGTTTATGCGATGCTAGAATATGCAGCAAGCCATATTGCATTGCACTTGTGTCCTGAAACTCATCAATCACTATTGCTTTCCAAGATTCTTGACAGTCCGCAAGAACTTCAGTTTAAAGCAGAAGATAATCAAGTTAAACGGTCAACAGTCAATACATGATGAACTTACACACTTTTACTGTTTCACATGTTCAGAGGGTACAAACCTTCTGGAAAATCAGTCAGTAGCTTAACAGAGCAGCTAATAAAGTCATGATAATCCAAGGCATTGCAAGATTTTAATATATCATTGTAGTTCTGAAGAATAGTTGCCTGTAGTAGATTTCACAAGATAGAAAATGACGAAAGAAATGAATAAGTAGCAAAAAAAAAAAAAAAACCAAGATACTATCATGACAGAAACTTACTCCTGTCTCATCACCCATTTTACAAAAATCCTCTGGTGACCTTCCAGCAGCTTTAGCCTGAAAATGAACAACCACTTTCCATATTTACCACAATAATGAGGTCATTTGAGCTATGAAATTTCCTAAAACCATCAGTACTGGGATCTTCATAACGGCACTTCTATTGGTACCAACTTACATGGCTTGCAAACCAGCGAAAAAAGACCGACTTCCATTACTAAATAAACAAACTTTAGCAGAATGCAAGTCTCGCTCAGAAATATAATAATATAAAGGTAATGTCATGATTACCTGAGTTACAAATTTAAGCCATTTCTTGGACTTCTCTTTGAAATGCTTCGGAGAATTAATATCAGACAACTCAGAAAATTTGCAAAGCTCATTATTGGTGCATCTCTTTCCATCCTCCAACAGGCGGACAGCCTCTATGACAGCCTTTCTCTGTTGCCCATGCCCATAGATCAAAAATTCAGGAGTACGCCCTAACCTATTGCCATTGGACACTTTAGCGTGTTGATATCGCAGTAGGTGTATGATGTGCAATTAGAGATTCAAATGATAATTGCAAAACATGACAGAGACAATATCACAACCTGGAGCCGGAGTAAAACACAAATATGTTATGTTTCAACAATAAAAAGATCTCAAGGTCGAGTTAATGACTGCATTTGCTTGCACTAGATTGTCCAGATTTTCGATTTATGACAAGGTATGTTTTCAATAAAAGGAACCAAACAGATTTCAGTTAACAAACATTAAATAACAAACAAGTCGATGTTTTATTTTTTAATATTTTTATTGTATCTTTCTACTGGGATACACACACACAGTGAGAGATAATAACACTTGTTAAACCATGAAAACTCCACATGATTATGGCTTTCAAAATCTTTTAAATGAAACCGTCAGTCTCATTTTGATTTTCATTGAAACTTTATTTCTTCAACCAAAAACGATCTCTTGATAACAATACAGAAACTATAATCATGTTAATGATTTTTCGTTATACATACTTATCAGCATGCAAGCGACAAAGCTGTAGAGAGAATGAGTGAAATGTGCTGATGGTAAGCTCCTTCGCTGCTGCTTTGCCAGCAACTGCTCCTATCCTCTCACGCATTTCAGCTGCCGCAGCTGTGGTGAACGTCATTGCCAGAACATTGGATGGGCTGATACCCTAGGATCATTCAAGTTTAAAGCTAAAGACGGAAATCAAGACATTAAAGCCGTATATTTAATGAACAAGAGTAAGAAAAGCATCTTATTATTCAGCAATACCTCATGTAAAAGCATTAAAATGCGTCCAACCATGGTGGATGTCTGTCATGTTGATAATAAGTGTCAGAATCCGAATTGCAAGAGAGATGCAATTGGAGAAACAAAAAAATGTTGGAGAAGAGGAAACCTTCCCGCTTCCTGGTCCAGCAACAATAACTAAGGGAACTGAAATGTCACAGCATGCTGCTTCCTGCTGCTTATCATTCAGAGACTGGATATACTTTGCATACTCCTCAGGCATGCTTTTGGCTCCTGGATTTTTTGATTTATCCAATCCTTGGATTCCACGTACTCCTCCATCAGAAATTTTGGAATCTTCTTCAGATTTAAACGTTCCGTCTTTACCATCACTGTTAGTGATGGGACTATCCTCCTCACAACTCTTAACAATCTCATTTCCAATGGTGGCCAATGGAACATCCCCTCTTTCACAATTGCCAGATGATTTTTGTTCACAGAGAGCATCAATTTGTTCGAAAATTGACTCATCAAAATCATCATCCAAGCTACATATCAAGATAGATTCCCTCTCATCAAGAAAGTCTGGAGGTTGTATTGAATAACTATTTGTAACCAATTTGGTATCACTGCTAGACACATTTCCTAAACATGATCCGGGGCTACTGCATCCAGATTGCCTGACGGGAATTTGAAGTATTTCATTCTTAACTCCATTTTTTGGAAGGTCGACATTCCTATTGGACAACTTGCAACCCTGTAACGAAACTGGGAATGGTAAGTTTGTACAAATTTCAGAAAGAGGCAGCCTCTTATTTCCATCAACTGAACTTTCCTTCTCATCTCCAGGCCTACACATGGAAAAGCTTTTAGCATCATAAAACTCATTATATTTAAATCATCTATCCACAACAAATATAAAGTATTAACTGAAATCAAATAATCAGCATAATCGATTATCCAAATTAGTGAAGGGTAAACATTATAAGCAAATGATTGGTAATAACCCAGAAAAAACAAACAATAACCAAAAAACAGTTGTAACCAAAAACATCAATTAGCTGTCTTGAAGCAACTGTATTTCGGATAGACACACGCACGCAAAGAAGAAAAGCGAAAAACAAACGAACATTTGCAAAATCAGCATGAACTTACTTATGATTGGTTAAAAGGGGACCGGATAGGGTGCTGGGCTCGAGCTTGGGGCGTTTGCGGGCTAAGAGTGCCTTGGCGGCTCTATAACTATTGGAAATTCGAGCCCGCTGCTCCGTCGATAATTCACCTCCGGCAGGCTTGAACGCCGCGTTCTCCTTGCTGCTCATCTTTGTGTCTTCATGAGCACAGGAAATCAACAGAACCCTAGGGAATCAGAAATGAGAATGGAAAATGCCGTTATTGAAATTTCCCTCCCAGGGATTGATGTGTTCTTTTTAAATGCGTTTATATAGATTAAATTTACCTTTTATTTTTCTTTTTTTTTTTTATCGTTACCTTTTATTTTTCTTTGGGTAATGGGGTGATTGTTTATATGGATTTTAAGTATTTTTATTTGGTTTGTGGTATTGTTAGCTATTAGTGGACATATTAAAAAAATAATTAAATAAAATAATTAATGTTGATTTGATGTAAAGTAGGAGAAAAATGATTGAAAGTGATTGTTAGTTAAAATTATGTGAGTGGATGAATAGTGAATTAAAGTTGATTTGATGTAAGAATGATTGGTTGATATTGTTTAATTATATTGATAATATTGAGGATAATGGAGTTGAGTTAAATTTGAGTTTTGATTGATTTTTTTTTTTTTTTTCTGTGAATCTATAAACAATCATCCCCATAAATGCACTATAGTAAATGGGTGTTTAAGAAAAAAAATATGTATAATAAAAAATAAACATATAAAAATATTTATATTCATATTGGAAATTCATAAAAATAAGACATACAATAAATAATGAATAATTTATAATTATTTAAAATGACACACGTTCTGTACTATCAAATTGTCAGAATGATATTATTTAAATTATATTTATAAAATTATATATGTCTAATTTATATATATTGAAAGATTGATGGATCAATCTAAAATACTAAGTTTGAATTTGTAATAAAATATATCAAAATTAATATTTATAAATTAAAAGTAAATATCAGATTTCATATAGCCCTATTATCTAGGTCCGGCCCAAATGCTGGTTACTCGACCAGATGAACACTAATAACGATATCAGTAAGTCGACTTCCCTGAAGTCGACCGTGCTCACGAGCTATCCAGGGATCAACGCCAACCCGATAGTGGCTCCAAGACGACTCTCGTAAGACGACTTCTCTTGAAGGACGAGTAAGCGAAGCGCAGTCTCCGAATGCTTACAAGTAACCTAAGTCGACTCGACGAGACTGCGAGTCGACTTATCCCGCCTCGAGGCATCAAGAGCTCCGACGACTTTCATACGCTTCGATATAACCTAGGAAGATCTTCGAACAAGAGTGAATCCATGTAGGATAAGAAAGAACCTGGATGTTGACTAAGAAGTGGTGGAATACGAACCGACCAGGGCATTCTGGACACTTCGTGTAAGTCGGCCAGGACATTTTGGGTACTTTAGGTAAGTGTTTTACTCTTATATAAAGGAATTGAGGTAACTCCAAACCCTAACTTTCATCCTCCACATTCATTTCCACTCAGCTGTTGCTCCCACTGAGCAGAGCTCACTTCATCACTCTTATACTGACTTGAGCGTCGGAGGCTTATCGCTGGAAACACTTCCGGTGTTGAGTTCTTGCAGGTGTTGCAGCGGTTCGAAGGCGATTTGGAGACGGTTCGAGCAGATTGGAGTCCATTACCACCGGTTCACTTTAGATCTCGAAGTAGACCCATCAAGATTAATGTCTAGTCGTAAATCGTCCAATTTGGTTAATAGAATGGCATTCCATATAAATAAAATGGTATCAATTTTAAAATTATTTTGTGATAATTATTGCAGTAAAAGTCCAATTCTTCATATTACGAATCATTGGAATTTCTTATTCTTTTGGTAATCAACCATAAAACATGTATTCAAAAGGCATCTATTACATGGGTTTTTGCTTTTAGAAAATATTAATTGAGTATGCACGATAAATTGCAAGTATAATTACTAAATAAAAATTGAAAATCAGTTAAAGATATTTTATAGGATTTTATTTATCTACATTAATGAAAAATCACGGTGATTTCTTATTCATTTGGTAACCAATCATATACCAAAATATTATTTATCGCATCTTCAAAGAACCATTTAATCAAGAGGATTATTTTACAATGTTGATTTATCAATAACTCAACTGATTCGGTTTTTTAAAAGTTGTAAACGTAATTTTTCAAAATATCAATAGAAATTAACTATAATCTTTAATAACAAAACAATATTTATCCTTAATAACAAATCATATGTTCCCCTGCTTTAGAGGGCATCCAGTCATATGTAGCTTGAAATATGCGTGTGAACATTCAAAATATAAGTCCAAAATAATTTTAGAAATCAATTGCAAAAATGTTATTGACATAACTACCAAAATGCTACAACAGAATTGATATTTCAACATTAATAACAAATCCCTCTTAACAAATCCTCTGATCATTTGGTAACGAGTCATATACCAAAAGTTCTCTATTCAATGAGTTCAAAAATATCATTTGATTTTATCAATAACTGCACCGAACAAATTTTTTTAAAATTCATATTGTGATTCACAATATCATAACGAATTCCATATAGATTAATAGATTTTTTTTTCCAAACGATAGGATCTGTAACATTAATAAAGCGGACAAAGTCCGAAGAGTTCAAACAAATACAAACACTACCATGAGAGACACACAAACAATGTGGTCTAGAGACACAATTAAAAAGCTACGGTTAAGGTGGGTATACAACCACCGAGACCTCACCCTAGCACCCAGAACCAAACCTGAACACCTACAACCAAACCAACATACAAGAAACAAACCAGCTACTAATCTACAAAAGCAAAAAAAAAAAAAAAAAAAAAAAAAAAAAAAAAAAAAAAAAGAAAGAAAGAAAGAAAGAAAGAAAAAATAAGGTCAAAAACTAAGACTTCACGGCCACAAGTTCCTGCCATTCTCTCCAAGCGTCTTTTGCTATGACCGTCTCCGGTATCCAAATCTTCTCAAATAGCCATAAATTCCGAGACCGCCAAAGCCACCATAAAATGTATGTCGATAACTGAATCCTATCTTCGGCCACCTCAGAATTATCAACTGAACAAATTTGATTCCACCAAAGCCTAAAAGATTGTTTACCTTATTGTTCTTCTGCCCAAGATACAAGTGATGACTTCCAGACTCTTTTGACTCTTTCATAATTAATAAGCAAATGCTCAACTGTTCCCACCTCCTCTCCACACATCCTGCAAATACAGTTCACCTTCATACCTCTCTGAAGAATATTCTGACCCACTGGCAGTGCATTATTGTAACACTTCCATAAGAAGTGTTTCATCTTACCTTGCACTTTGAGTTTCCAAGTCCTACATCTAATCATCATCCCTGCTTCTCTACTACTTTCCGTTGCATCCATATTGAGTATTGTACTCCTCATTAACTGAAGATAAGAATTATCTACTGAGAAATGCTCTTTGGCATCAAAAGACCACTTCCAAACATCATATTTGTTAGGATCTAATGTATTAATCTCCTGAATAGCTAGGATGTCTCTGTCAGAAAACAGTTCCCTCAGCACACTCTCATTCCAGCCTTTCCCAGAATCATCAAGAAGCTCACTGACCCAAATGACAGATTCATTAGCAGTAGAGACAGGATTTGGAAAAAGGTGATTCAATTTAAGCACCCAACTATGATCAAGAATTCTGGTTTCTTTGCCATCATGCACTTCTCTAACCAAACCACTAGCTAGCAAAGGAATCATATCAACCCAACTATTCCACATCCATGAAGCTGACTGACTCTCTTAACTTCAAAGATAGAAGAGGAAGGAAAGTACCTGCTTTTGAGTACCATACTCACTAAAAGGTTGGTCATTGTAGTGACTCTCTATAGCTACTTGAGAAGAAGAGCTTCATTGAATAGTTTATAATCTTGAAAACCCAATCCACCACTGCCTTTTGGAGTAGTAATGTTGTTCCATTTCTTCCAGTGCACTCCTCTTCCTGTCCTTTACCTTTACTCCACAAAAACAAAGTTGTAATTCTGGTTAGTTCATCACAGATGCCGACAGGTAATTTGAAACAATACATGGAGAACAAATGTAGTGCATTAATAATTGCTTTAATAAGAACTTCTTTTTCCTGCTCTAGAGATACCTGCTTTTCCAATTGGGCAACCTGTTTTTCACTGCTTGTACCACATACTCAAAAGTCTCATTCTTAGACTTCCACATACCCAAAGGAAGCCTTAGGTATCTTGTAGAGTTATGTGCTTGAATCCCTTCCAACATTGAGCAGATGATATCTTTCAAGTGCTGGGGAGTATTTCTACTAAAGAATACAATTGATTTTGCAAGGTTAACTTTCTGACATGAGAAACTCTGGTATATAGATAACAAGTGCAACAGTCTCCTCACTTGTTGAGTCTCAGCCTTGCAGAAAACTAATGAATCATCAGCAAACAGAAGATGTGTTAGTGTCGGGCCTTCTCTTGCAATCCTCATCAAACCTGCCATTTTGAGCTGCCATTTGATCAAAGAAGAGAACACCTCAGAGACAATAAGAAATAGATAAGGAGAGATAGGATCTCCTTACCTTATTCCCCTGGAGGAATTCACAAAACCAGTAGGCTTCCCATTCACCAAGAAAGAGAAAGTAGGGGAGGTAACACATGCCATCACTCATTTTACAAATTGATTCTCAAACCCATTTTTATGCATTGTTTTACACACTCCCACACTCCACTTTGTCATAGGCTTTGAGCATATCCAGCTTCAAAGCCATGAAATCCCAGACTTATGTCTATTAAGAAAGTGAAAACACTCATATGCAATAACTACATTGTCAATCAATTGTCTTTCTTGGATGAAAGCTGCCTGTGATTAATTAATGCATACATCTAGACAAGATGTCATTCTTTCAGCCAAAATTTTAGCTATGATTTTATACACAGCCCCACAAAGACTTATAGGTCTAAATTGAGAAATGGAAATGGGATGAATGCATTTAGGAATTAAAGCTACAAGTGTGTGATTCCAGTACCTCAGAAGTCTCCCAGGTTGAAAGAAGCTGGTCATTACATTGCAAAAATCCTCCTTAAGCACTGGCATAAAATGTTGAAAGAACAAAGTTATCATGCCATCTTCACCCAGTTCCT